TGTTTATTTCGATTTGTAGTGTGTGAATTTACATTGGATGTGTTGGGTTTATTTTTTAGGGCGATTGCGGAAAAAGTTGGATTGGGGCGTGAGGCAGAAGATTGCTGTTGGGGCTGCACGGGGGTTGAGGTACCTGCATGAGGAGTGTAGGGTCGGGTGTATAGTGCATCGTGATTTGAGGCCCAACAACATTCTGCTCACGCATGATTTCGAGCCGCTAGTATGTCATCATCTCCCTTTTCAACATATATATAGTTGGAAATCACTACAGTTCCCATTACATAATGATTTTGTGATTATTATTAATCTTTAAATACACATGTAGATTAGTGAAGGGTAAATAATCCATTATTAAAACATACTTGACAGAATCATTCCGTTGCACTACTGTAGTCATTTTCTATATAGTTTTCAACGTATATTTTTTTGGGAAGCTTGAATTATTAAAATGGCACAACTTGGTTGGGTATCTATATGAACTGACACAAGAACTCTTTGATATGGGGAGTAAAAAAAATGTGTTTGTCGTTCCCTATGCGACAAGGAAAAAAAAGAAATTGTACTGAAGGACACCATCTTTGTTTGGAAAGGTTGGAGACTTTGGATTAGCACGATTGCAGGCAGATGGAGATGCATTTGAAAAAACCAGAGTGATGGGGACATTTGGGTACATGGCTCCTGAGTATGCTCAGACGGGCCAGCTCTGTGAAAAAGCAGATGTTTACTCCTTTGGTGTGATTCTTGTCGAGCTAGTCACCGGCAGGAAAGCTGTCGATATAAGCCGACCAAAGGGGGAGCAGTGCCTCACAGAGTGGGTAAACATAATTCAAATCTCTCAACATTCCATTTATATTTATTATAATGCTCTGAAAATTAAGTCATCTCTTCTAGTAATTGGCATTTTCTTGTTCTTGATTGATATGGAATAGGCACGTCCTTTGCTAGAAGAGAATGCCCTTTCCGAACATGTTGACCCGTGCCTCATGGGGTGTTATTCCGAAAGGGAGGTTCATAATATGATGCATTGTGCTTTGTTGTGCCTACAACGAGACCCCGAGTCAAGGCCTCGGATGTCTCAGGTAATTAAAAGAAAAGTTTCGATTTTTGTAAGTACAGATAAAGTGTTTCTTGATTTGTCAAACAACTGTGTATGCCAGATAAAATAGTAGTCTTCACCTGTTGAAATTTGTGACTTGTGTTCATAAAAGATGATTAGAACTTAGAAATCAATGATTAAGTATCTGTGTTTTGTGTTTTGTGTATTCTAGGTACTTAGGATGTTGGAAGGTGATTAATGGGCTGAGGAGATCAAAAAAACTCCGGGTTTGTGAGAAAGGATACGCGGGAGGCTGCGCGATGGGCGCTGCTGCAGTCCCTAGAGGTCTGCACAACGTTGAAAGACACAACCTATCTTAAATAAATAAATAAAAAATAAAAACTCTCTTTGGTTGAGTCCTGTACTTATTGTTTGTGATGGGGAAAGAAAAAGGCTTCACCCATTCTAACAGCGTGAACCATTTGTGTTGAAGTTTCAGTTCATCAGTGTATAACTAAAAATGGATTTTGTACCAATTTTGTAGCTTTATGTTCTGTAAATAGAGATATGTACGAGTTGTCAGTTCTACTTCCGTAATAAATAAATTTGGAACTTAGAATCTCAAAATCGTAAATAAATTATTTATAAATTTAGAAATGTGCAAAAAAAGTTGAGTTTTGTAGTACAATTATAATTTAGAGAATTACTACAGTCTCGTTGGCGGAATGATTTCGTCAATGTTTTTAACTGTAAATTATCTACATACACTACATAATTGACAAAAATTCAATTTTGGTCCGCTAACTTGTCCATTGTCCAATTTTGGTCCGCTAACTTGACCCTCATAAAAAATGGTCCATTATGTTACATTTTTCATCAGTTTTAGTACACTACTCCAGTTGGCGGGATTACGAGATGATGTGGACCGGCATTAGAACTACGTGGAGGGATAAGATGTTGACGTGGTAGGATAAAAAACTGATTTGGCATCTCGTAATCCCGGGCCACGGGATTAGCGTACTAAAACTGATGAAATGTGTAACGTAATGGACCTTTTTTGATGAGGGACAAGTTAGTGTACCAAAAGTGGATAATGAACAAATTAGCGACCAAAATTGGATTTTTGCCCTTTATAATTTATATGTGTATCTAACGGTTAAAAGTACTGAAGGAACTATCATATAATGGGACTGTAGTCATCTCTGTTTGTTTAAGTAGATCAAATTAAAGTGGACTCCATATCTTTTGGGATATGTGACGATCGTCGGAATTCATGTATTCGTTTAAGAACCACTTAATACAATGTGCAGCAGAATAAAGAACAGACATAAGGTGTACATTTTTATATCTATTGTGAGATGATATTCGGTCAACGAGAAAAAAAAAAAAAAAATAAAAATAAAAAAAATAAAAAAATAAAAAATAAAAAACACAAAGAACCGCATCATGGATGGATCTTCACAGAGAAAGCGACTCCCTGCGCTGATGGACTTTCTCGCTCACCCTGGGACCAAAAGCCCAGAAATGGTACCACTCGTTGACCCCCAGATCCATCATCAGATGGGACCAACTCAGGTAAGCTTTTCAAATGCATTTTATCGGCTCTCGGGTATGCATGATCCCTCGAGAGTCGATAAACAATATTGTGCAAAGTGCCAATGAAAGCCTCAAAGACTACGTGGCTCAATTTAAAACCCGAGTACAAAACATGGAACCCTGCTATCCGAAGATGCTGCTAGTGGCCGTTAATGTTGGATTGCTCCCGAACTCTAAGTTCCATTGGTCCCTTAATTGGAACAAGTTGATAATGTACCAAGAATTTCTTGTGCGAGCCCAAGAACACATCATCGCTGAGCAATCCATAGTCCTCCCAGCATTCGAGCTTGCCCAAGAAGAACAAAGAGGTCGTACCATTATGAGGACTTGAATATCGAGAAGATTGGGTTGAACCAACCAAAATATTTTGGAAGAAGAAAGTCGAAGCGACAACAAATACAAAGTTGTATAAACCGTTGGACCGCCGTCATCTTCAACGAAATAAAAGGTAAAGGGATACTATTAGACTAATTATAAGGGATGCATCCACGGTGGATAGTTGCTCCTACAACTAGAACCATGGGTATAACACAGATCAATGCCATAACTTGATGACAACCCTTCTCCGGGCAATTGGCGACCCTCACTTAGATTGGTACACCCGTCCTCGACACGAACTGAAGAGAACGGACCGAACCCCAGATCGATATCTTGAAGACAAAGAGCCTATAGTAGCCAAAAAAAACCCTGAGAGGGTCTCAAGAGAAATCTTAACCTTTGAAAAAGTAGTGGTCCTGTACGAATTTCAAAACGCAATTCTGAAGATCTCGAAATCAAAAACACAGAATCTACTTGAAAGAAATCAACTCCATAAGGAAGAAGTCAATGCATGTGAATGTGAAGACTCCTTACCTTTGAGGAGTTTGTATATATACATGATCGAAGAGTCGTTGAAAGGCTACTGGAATTATCGAGTTATTATTCTAGACTTTCACTGAGTGTCTGTAATCTTTGAGTTATATTTATTTTTAAGTTATTCAGCATTGTGTTCTTACATCGATTGAAGATTTTTTTTTCTTTCTTTGTTCACAAACACTTTGAGTGCTTAGAGATTAAGTGCTTTTGTAGCTACGAGTGATCCATAGCTAGTTTGAAGTCTACAGAGTGGTTTGATAAGTAACTGATAGAGTGTGGTATAGTGTTGGTTAGATTAGTAAGGACAATCTATATATTGTGCGCATAAATCGATCTATTAATGAAAGAGCTTTGAGGAGTAATGACACTCGTCGATAACGTTTTTATTTATATGCTGCTTCCACTTTTAATTTCGATGTTGAAACACATCATTCTTTGTGGCACAAGTCTTGTGTAGCAGGTTCATAAAACATATAATCTTGTTATCAAATTTGAAAAAGAGACTTTTTTTGGCTCATCAATACCTCTTCCTAATGATTCCATGAAGATTTCTTTCTTTTGTTATATTTTACTAGCTAAATTGTAAAAAGTAGCCAGTTGGCATTTTTGGCCACCATCTGTTGATTTTGGTAATAGTAGCCAAAATATTTTAATAATTCGGTATTTCTACCTAAATACAACCAAATTGTCGGAATTCCGCCTGAGATCACAAAATATGCCAGCATGGACTACATAATCCACCTCAGCTCAACAGTCTATAAATACCTCTTCCACGTGTTTTCACCTTCATCTTCCACAAAAAAATTGGGGAAAAATCAGGCAAAATCTCGAACAGAAAAGAAACCCTAAAATCGAGCAGAAAATACCTAATGCTTGAAGCTGCAAATCGGAGAAGAACCCTAGAAATTAAGACGTCAGTTTGATGACAACCTCAATATACTTGCAAAGCAATAGAAAGCCAAACTCTTCTCCTCTTGCGTACAGTAAAATTCCTTAATTTTTCTCCATTGTTTTAATTAATTTGCATCAGCAGTTTGAAGTTCTTTATATTTATTTATTTTATTTTATTTTGACAATAATACACTATTATCAAGATAATTTCATTAAAATGTTAGAATTAAAGTGGTGGTCCTGCACTGTGGTTTTATGTTTGGCTTTATAAGACATGTAGGGACATAAGACATGTATTTTATTTTTATGAAAAGTTGTTTTTGTTGATGAAATTTTAATTTTTTATTTATCACAACTCGTGAGAGTAGCCAACTCAGTGTTGTGTATTATGAAGGTTAATTTCTGAATGAACCTATTGCTTGAGGTGATTGCCTACCTGTGAAGGCTGATTGTATACC